TCAGCAATAAAAAGGAATGGAATATCAGATGAATCCCAAATAATTAGGCTGAGTAAAAGAAACCACACAAAATATGCAGGGTTATAAAGGAAATGAAGAATCTCTCGAGGGTGGTGAATATGTTCATTATTTTGATTGTTGTGATGGTTTTATGGGCATGTATATGTGTCAAAATTTATCAAATTGTCCACTTGATTTTTTTTTAAGTAGGCTTCATGCCCAATGTGGGGCTTGAACTCACAACCCTGAGACCAAGAGTCGCATGCTACACTGTCAGCCAGACAACCCTCAAATTATCCACTTTAAATACATGCAGTTCACTGTATGCCATTTATATCTCAATAAAGATTTTTTTAAGGTATATAATTTTTTATGATTCCCTGCCCTAACCAATATTTTGATTAATCAACTGTACTAGTCTGCTCGGGCTGCTATAACAAAATACCACTGACTGGCTTAAACAATAGAAATTTATTTTCTCCTATCTCTGGAGGCTGGAAGTCCAAAATCTAGATCTCAGTAGCGTTGGTTTCTGTTGAGCTCTCTCTTCCCGGCTTGCAGCTGGCTGCCTTCTCATTGTGTCCTCAAGTGGCCTTTCCTCTGGGCATGCACCAGAGAATATCTTGTGTCTCTTCCTCTTCTTACAGTATACCAGTACTATTGGATTAAGACCCCTTCCTTACGACCTTTCTTAACCCTAATTACCTCCTTGAAGTTCTTATCTCCAAACACAGTCACAGTGTGAGGGCTTCAACATATAAATTTTAGTGGGGGATACAATTTGGTCCATAACACCAACCAGCTATAGGTCCAACTGTGTCAAATGAGAGGGCTTGTGCTCTACTTACTCATTCACTCCCTAACACTTTCAGCACCCAGTTTCAACAGTACCTGACAGTGTCATCTGTGCTCTGTGAGGGAGATATGCTCTTCTCTACCCATTACCTGGAAGTAATAAAATCTCTACCAAATAAAACTACTAAATTAGCATTTCTTTCATTTCATATCCATTATCATAAGGCTATTTTATTGTAAACTCATTTATATAACAATATTCTGGAACTTCCTTAGAATTCTATCTGCAACTTGTTCTGAATTTTAGTTACCCATTAATTGCAAACACAAAGAGTAATAACCATTACTACTAATCACTATAATAAACAGATGAATCACTCAAACAAATGTACAAACTTTTTATTTAGAATTAGAGACTCAAATACAAATTAAATACAATACAAAATATTAAGCCTTCATAAAACAAACCATAACCACTTTAAATCATCTATTTCTGAAACAAAATTAAAGAGAAATCTAAAATAGTCCAAAAATCAACTTACTTTTAAACTCCTATTGTTAACATTAAAATTATTACAAAATGCTCAAAGAAATTTAATTAGAAAATGAACAAAGCCACTACAAAGAGATTCCTGCTATCTACTAAAATCAATTTAGGAATTAAAATTTAGTATGATTTCTACTCATTCACAAATAAAAAGCACCTCATTTTAAAAAGACAATTATCTGTTTCACTCTAAGGTGTGAGAACTTTTTGTTTACTTGACTTTTAATTTTAATATGGCACAATAGGTTTGATCAGTGTAAGCAATATCACTAAAAATATTTAAATGTTCCTTACAGGCCCTTTCTGTTTTACTTTATGAATAAATGGATCATATATTTAAAAGTTAAAACATTACAATATAATAAATATCATTAATAAGATACATGGCAAAATAAAAATATGCATTAAAAATGAAGTCTCTTTTTCTTTTATAAATGGGAAACTGATCAGACTCATGCTATATATTCCCTTTTTACTCCAGAAAAAAAAAGGTTCTATATTTTATATTATTGTTATAAATCCAATTCTAAGAATCTGCACCAAAGAAAGTACCAAAGAGATAGTATAATATCTTAAGCTCATATTGTATCTGAAAATACTTACAAAAAGTGGAACTAGACTTGCATTAAGTAGATAACAGGAAAATACTATTACAGTGTTTACATATTTAAAATAACCCAAAACAAAAATAAAAGTCCACACTCAAGAATGGCACCCACAGGGCTCCTGGGTGGCTCAGTTGTTAAGCGTCTACCTTCTGCTCAGGTCATGATCCCAGGGTCCTGGGATCAAGCCCCACATCGGGCTCACTGTTCCACGGGAAGCCTGCTTCTCCCTCTCCCACTCCCCCTGCTTGTGTTCCCTCTCTCGCTGTCTGTCCCTCTCTCGTCTGTCTCTGTCAAATAAATAAATAAAATCTTAAAAAAAAAAAAAGAATGGCACCCACATTATTCAAGAATAAAGTTATTTGCATATATGCAAACCAGTGTGGCTAAATATTTTCCTAAAACATGCATATTATGAGACCTTTCATAATTAAGCTTATAGAACCAAACTATATTGTGTTTAGATCAACTGTCATGATTGGACATTTCTGCACATCAAGAGAGTTAAAACTCTGACATCTGTTGTTCTGTAAAACTGAAGAAGAAATATAAACAAACTCAGGATTTCACTAGAAAATTTCAGATATCTCAGCAACCTGTTATACTTCTTGTCATGAAATAAATGACTCCAAGATGCAATTATTCTTTTAAATTTTTAATTTCTATGAGTCCTCTTTAAAAACCATTTTAATGACATCACATTTCTTGGAGAAAATTTACTCAGAGTTCTGAACAACTTAGTCGACTATTTTCTAGAAGCAATTCTGCTGCAAGTGGTAGAGTTCTAGCTCTGTTAGAAGTTTTTTTTTCCTCTTTCAAAGAAAATGAAAAATATGCAAAGATTTTCCTACTGACTCACTAAATGTAAAATTAATAGTGTATAATAATAAATTTTGGAATACAATAACTTTTAAGTTTTCAGTTTATTACTACCAACTAGCTATAATATCAGGCAAGTCACTTAATTCTCTGTACCTTAGTTTCATCTTTAAAACAAAGAGATTAGAATAGATAATTGCTAAGATTCCTTCCAATTTTCACATGGTATGATCTGTGCTTCTGGAGGAATATCTCATTGATATATTGAATTTTCTATATATCAAGAAAACTGATATGAACTAAAATAGCACAGCTAAACTAATCCTCTAAGAAAAAACACAAAGACCATGTTAAAGCTCAACTTCCTAAACTTTACTAGACCCATTCTCTCTTTAGCCAGACCAATGAATAGCCCATGACATAACACTTAATTACATAAGTTATTTTAAATTACACTGTAAACCTATTAAAATATTTTAAGTCTATGCCACAATTTTCCTGCATTCTAATTTACATTATTTTCATTCTATCTACATTCAAAATAATCTGTACAGTTAAGGTAGGGAGCTACTTAATATTCTTGCACTTCAAAACACTAGTAAAGGTAAATCAAATGAAGAGCAGAATATTAACCGTTATCATAACCTGCCAATTTTTTAAAATAAAAGTACACTAATACTATTTATGGGCTAGAAAAACAAAGGTAAAAAAGGAAATCTTGCTGACAAATGCTAATGTTCAAATGAATTTAGCTGTGTTGTGCCATTTCTTAGAAAAAGAGGGAGAAGATATCAGCAGAAACCTACTTAGGCAATACTGAACCATGACATTTTAGGAACTTTTATGAGAAATTAATGTACCATAAAGCAGCACTTTGGTATTAGTGCAGTGCAAGTTGGTTTTTCTCTAACTATGGGCAGCAAATGAGGCACTTAACTGTAAAATAGAAAAATAGGGTATATTTAAGAAGAAATTCAAAATCATTCATAAAAGATAATTAGCATTATTCAAAAAGTAAAAAATTCTATTTTTATTTAATGTGCATTCAATGTTATACATGCTTCACTAGGGAAAATTTTGAATATAAGATGGCTGTTTCATTTATAAGAGACAGAAAATATTTCCTTTTCAAGAGACTCTGGATTTCTGAGAATGAACTCCAAGTCTTCTCAACCTGAGGGCTACATATTTATAAACCGAGAAAAATACATCTTACCCATACTGGAGAAATGTTTCTAGCTATCAACAAAGTATAACATGTGATCCCTGACTTTATTCTTGAAGGATCGGAAGTTTTTACTTTATATAACTTCAAAGAAAGGGATCTAGTGACTGTAACAGAAAAATGAATAGATATTTAGCACCTAAATTTAGAACACTTAAGTATTGCCATAGTTTTAAATAGTTGTATGTCCAAAGATCAGGGGAAATCAGATATATGTTGTTCAATGATACTACAACATTCTCAAAGATTAATTTATCAAGCTTCCTTGATTTGCAAACGCATCCATCTATAACATTCAACACAATATTATCATTTCTTCCTGAAGTTACAGATATGTATTCTTCTTAATAAGAAATAAGTGAGGTTTATTTTTTCTTAACCACCATTAAATTGTCTTCCAAATGTGGCACTTTTTCAGATAGTTGGATAGAAAATAGTTCTTTTAAAAAGTCATACTCTACCACTAATATTATTTTAAATGTTCTTCACTGTGAAACAGAGGTCAAAAAATGAAGTAAATGGCCATGGACCTTCTGCTGAAATACATAAGCAAATATAATGCAGGGTCAGGGAAGAAGAACATATGTTAATTTCTGGCAAGGAAGTTGGCACATAAATGCTTATCCGTAGGGTAAAAAAGGACTGAATGAAAAGATAATGTCTGCTGTGACATTATTCCAAGCAAATGGAGCCTAGCATCTGCTTTCTTCACATCTAAGAGAAATATTCTAGTCATGCCTCTTTAAGTAAGCTTGATTTTAATTCTAGATGAACACTTTGCTTCATATGTTAAAACTGACACATGACATTAACTAAAGTTTTGCATGAGACAATTATATTCATTTCCTCTGAAAAATCCTATAATCTTACCTTTTCTCCCAATTTGCTTATAAGAAGGCTTTTCTTAACTCACAAGGGGGTGGAAAAGGCTTAAAAATATATGTTCTTATTCCAAGGAGGCTGGAAGATTTCTATAGTTCACAGTCTTCATATTTGTCTTCTACACTCACTTTAACAAGTCACATTCCTTACTTCATAATTAATTTCCTGACATACAGAAAAATCTAACTTCTCTTATTTATATCTTTAAGGTAAACTCCTATTTTCTTGAAAGATATTCTAGTTTATTTTTGAAAGGAAATGAATACATTAAAAAACAAGAACACTGTTGATGCAATTCAGTTAGGAAATAAAGTGCATATAGCTTTCAATATAAATATTGTTTGATAGATTACAGCTAATAGCCAATAAAATCAAAATGAAGATTCAGCCCAGTCTCTAAAATATGGAAAACAAGAGACAAGAATATAAAGTCTATATAAATAGTAACAAAAATGGGGGTGATATTCCCCTTCACTAAAAAAAAAAAGGCAACTGAAATTGTTAAGTAGATTTCTGCTTCCCAAGCAACCAGACATGCTACACAGTAATACCAACATGCAATACCTGAAATGTAGAATCACAGTCTGACTGTTGCCCTTGAACACCAGCATTTAATTTACAATTTTCTGGTGCCTGGCTGATTTCATCTTGCAAAGTAGGAGATATGCCATGAGTATCATCTACCAAAGCACCGTCAGACAAGGCATCTAACTTTTCAAGGGAAGGAGCTATGCGAAGCTTACTATCTCCTGTCCCTTCATCAAAATTTGTCCTCTCATCAGCATCTTCTAGCTGTTGAACTGAAGTTAAATACTGCTCAAGCAGACTGTTATCCTGCTCATTGTTTAAACTTTCCTTATTCCATTCACCATGCTCATCGCTGACATCCCCTACATCTGACTCTTTGCCATATCTGACTGTGTCAATGGAATTCCCCATTATGGAACTTTCACTGCCTTCTGTGGAACTTTTTTCAAAATCCAAAGAATTCTGCAAACAGTGAACTTGGTCTGTTAGGGAAGAATGAAAACCCGAGTCTGGAAATTCTGGTAAGGATTTCTCTTGAGGAGCCTCATCAGGAGCAATGAACCAATCAGAATTTTGATCAGAAGAGGGCTCCTGACTCTGGGTGAATAATGGAGGTTTAGAGGGTACTAGAGTACTTGACATAGGAGGAACATCAGTATGCCAGGAACTTAGACGCTGATCCACCATCTGTTGCCAAGCTTGCAGAGACCTTACCTGTAAACCAAAGGGTATAGTTTTATTATAAAATAAAAATCTTGCCTGTTTTACAATGTTCTTTGAGCCTTTTCCCCCAACACTCACGAAGTTGGTAAATGGCAGATGGCAGAACTGGAGTTAGAAACAGCCTGATTCCCCTTATCCCTTCCATAGCACTCCCAGCCTAAACCAGGCTGGTACAAGTGGTACATGTCCTTGACAACAAAAGGTCCTCACCAGGAGAGTCAGGATGGGCCAAAGCAATTCTTCTTGTTGCTACTGGAAAAACTATCAGAAGCACAACAGCCCGTGACTAAGGGGTCAGTAATGTACTCAACAGAAACTGAAATCTATTGAATAAGACAGGTTAGAGCCCATTATAAGTAGATTCTCTAAAAATCTCATTGTAGATATCCATTTAGGATAGAGTTTTTAAATATTATCTAACAATATAGCATATACAACTCTAAAATATCCAAAAATACCGAGTGCTTGATCATATGACCTTTACATTTTTAACATACAAAATCTCAAAATTAAACAATTAAATCTGCAAGAAGAAAGCAATATATAGGATTTTTTAGTTTCTCTTTGACCACCCTCCCAGGTAATCACTGATAGCAGTTTGACAGTGTCCTTCCAGACCTTTTACTCTGTTTTCAAATATATATGGAGTTTTTAAAATCAAGCAGAACCTTAAGTTCTGAAACTTAATGTTTTTCACTGAACAATGTTATTCTGGAGAACTTTCCACATCAGTCTATACTGTTACCTTATTCTTTTTAACTGTTCCATAATGTTCCATGGTATTGTTATTCTATAATTTATTTAACCACTCCTCTAGTATTAGTAATTATAAAACCTTAGAAATCAATAACTATTTCTTAATTTTGTAGGTAAAATCCTATTATAGCAAAAACACTTCCAAGTGTCCTCACGAAATACCTGATGAGATAAAGTAACAGTAAAACTGATTATCTGAACTGTCCCTGAAGTATGCTATTACAGGATCTAAACTCTCTCTCTTAAGAAGTCATGTGCACTTTTTAGGACACGCATATCATAGCCATCATACAGTATCTTAGTCACCTTTCATTCAAATATTCCCAAAAGGTAAAACAAGATAGACGGCTACAGAAAACTTTTAATTGAATATTTTCTACCTACTGGAAAGTTATGACAACATCCCTCAATTTAGTCACTTTCATTCATCTTTATGGTTCTTTATCTTTCTGGTCAAAATTATGAAAATATTTTTCTTTAGATTAAATAAAATGTAACAAAGTTCACTGTCCTAATTCAGAGTTAGTGGCAAAGAACATAGACCATCCTTCACCTTGAGAAAAAATGCTTACTATGCCTGACTATTCTATGATTATCTCAATAAATCTAGAATTTTTCTTGGTTCACACATTAGGTGAATAAGCAAGAATGGGTTTACCTGGTTCCAAAGGAATCTGACAGCCTCTTCTTGTACAAATTTTTTAATACGTTCTTCATCTCTTTCTTTTCTTAATCTGCAATAATTCAAAATCCATTACTGACACAAGGAAGGTGCTTTGACTCACGCCTATTGTTACAACTAATAGACACATGTACTGTAAAGAGATTAATAGTCTAATAACCGCCCTTTCCACTTTTAGAATACCTAAGCTGAAACTTTAAACTATGACTCAATGTAGAAGCCAAATGGATGTGACTGAAATTCAGATTATATTGGTTCTACAAAGTATTGCCAATGATGAAAAATAAAATAAAATATTAAATGGCTCTTTATCTGGCCTTTATTTCCCAGCCAAAACACCAAAGGTACAAGAGCTGCAGAAAGGAGTAGTTGCTCAAAGGCTACAAAACAGCAGAGGATTAGGATCACAGCTTGACATGCCATCTTCTAAGAGACTAGTAGGACTAATCCCATCAAACTTCAGTCCCTATTTGCCCGGGTCCTTGACGTATTCCTTGCTATCATCAAAGGACCTCCTCCCCACCCATCATTTCCCCTTAGTCATTAAATGAGTATTCAACTGGGCTCACTGCTGCCCTCTCCAAACTTAAGCCTGTCACCAACCTAAGGCTCCCTTAATTGTCCGTTATCTTCCAGAATGTCACCACCATTTTGTTCTACCTCTAACCCAATTCCCAGCTTTCTCTAGCCCCCCATGTTCTTCTCCTGTGCCATTTGGGACTCCAGAATTATAATTGGCAAATCCCTTATCTTCTCAACCTCTTTTGTGAAATTTTCCTTCACCAAATCAGACCTACTGCTGATGGCATTGTAGCCCTCTCAAGGGCTATTTTGGGACACCTGGCTGGCTCAGTTGGTAAAGCATGTGATCTTGATCTCAGGGTCAGGAGTTTAAGCCCCATTAGGGCATGGGGCCTATTGAGAAAAAAAAAAAGTGGAAGCTATTTTTTTATTCATACATCAGTGTCAGAAGATAGCTTCTACTGTCAACAAATGTTCTTTTGCCCTCCTCCTTGGAGAACTCCTGCCATCCTGCTAAATTTCTCCAAACTCTTTTTCAAGTACTAGCCTCCCAGAATCTGCCTGCAATCATTGAAATCTCAGCACCAGTCTCTCTCCACTTCATTCCTATCATCATTTCTGGAGACCTCAGCATTCACATGGATGCTCTAACAGGAATCCACCCTATGGCATTCATTCTCATAGTCTCACTCTAGACCCAATCATTTTGATTACACCATTTTCAAAAATATTTTCAAGCACCCACACAAACCACCACCTCCTATCCTCCCAGTTCACTTGCTCTTGCATCTCCCTGCAACGATCTAGACGTCCAATCTTCATTCAGACCTCCAAGCTAATGATCCCCACCTCCTCCTCTTTTTCCTTCTTTAAATTCCAAGATCCACCATTATAATCATCCCCTCCCAAATATCTTTGGCTCCTTTGCCCTTCCCTCTCTCCCCTACCATATTCGCCTGGAAAGCAGAACCAAATTAACCATGCCCAAATCATAATAGAACAGCTGAAAGTTGCTGATGAAACTCATACAACCTGACCTCTTGTTTTGCATTTTAAGTTTTTCCTCATACAGTCTAATAATCCTCCATTTTCCTTTCAGGTTCACTTTGAAGATGAATACCTCACACCTCTCTTCTTAAACCTTCTACACCCTCACCCCTCTCCTCATTTTCAAATGTTGACCATGTTTTCTTCTGTATCATTGAAAAAGGAGAAGCATTCATCAGACAGAACTTCCGCTTCCTCCCCATCAAACCTACCACCTCACCTGCTTCTGCTCCTGCTCCTACCTCAGGCCACTCCCTCTCCTTGTGCACTGGATCCCTTTCACTTTCTCAAGAACTTCAACCTTGCATCTCTCCTTTCTTTCCACTGCACCATCAGATTTTCCCTCTTTACTGAATCATTCTATCAACACATAAACATGCTCTATATCTCCCATCTTTAAAAAAGAATTTTCCTTAACTCCAGATTCTCCTCCAGCAACATACCACAAAAGGGGTCCCCGCAAAAGAACTGGCTACACTCATGCTTCACCTCTCATTCACTATTCAACCCATTCCAAACTGCCTGATTCCACTACCTACTGAAGCTGCTCTGAGGAAATTCACTGGGCAGGAAAGGGTTAAGACAGCAGGCTTGGGGTGTTCAAACGCCATACATTCCAAAGGAAGGACTGGCTTTGACTGATGGGAACATAATGTCCAAGCCCTTGGACTATCCTGCTTGATAAGAGTATCTGTGTACGCGCGCCTGGGTGGCTCAGTTGGTTAAGTGACTGCCTTCGGTTCAGGTCATGATCCTGGAGTCCCTGGATTGGGTCCTGCATCAGGCTCCCTGCTTGGCAGGGAGTCTGCTTCTCCCTTTGACCCTCCCCCCTCTCATGTGCTCTCTCTCTCTCTCTCTGTCTCAAATAAATAAATAAAATCTTAAAAAAAAAAAAAAAAAGAGTATCTGTGTATACATGGGGCTTGGGGCCAAACAAGATAGTTTATGCTAACAATGTGCTTTCAGGTGAATACCTGTTTTATTCACCTAGAGCCCTGATACAGACATGGTATGAGTCTGACCTTGGGTAGGAGTTAAGGTCTAAGTAGTTAAAGTCAGTCATACAGGCACTCAATGCCTACAAGATTGACACCCAATAAAAACCCTGTAGTAAAACTAATGATGTAATGTATGGTAATTAACATAATAAAAAATTTTTTTAAAAAGTAAAAACAAACAAAAAAACAAAAACAAAAAAACCCTGTAGTCAGGGCTTCAGTGAACTTTCCTGGTTGGCAATACTTCATATGTGTTGTCACACATCACTGCCAAGAGATTCAAGCCCTACCTATACAACTCCACTGGAAGAAGACAACTAGAAGTTTGTGCCTGCTCTCCTGGACTCTGCCCTATGCACCTTTTTTCTTTACTGACTTTAATCTGTATCCTTTCACTTGAATACACCATAGTCATGAAGAGAATAGTTTCCCTGTGAGTCCGTTTAGCAAATCATCAAACCTGAGAATAGTCCCAGGATCCCCCAGTATAGTCACCAATAACCTCCAGCTTCTAAATTAAACATATAATCCTGTCCTCCCTACGTCACCTCTGTTCTCTCCTAAGACATTTCCCTATCGAAGTTGAGACACACACCCCATCTTCCTATCACACTGGCTGTCCCTTCCCAGTCTCTTTTACTGCCTCCTCCCCTTCCACTTGATAATATTAATAAATGTTGCTAGTTGCAATACTAATACTCAAAATAAATTTATGAACTCCTAATTTTCCTGGCTGGCAGTCAGTAAAATGTCAGCCACAGAAGTGAGGAATAATTCCTACCATTGCCCCAGAATTTTAGTCCCTTTTAAGTCCCCACTCCTTTCTTTAATTCTATGTTACCTACTGGGTTCCATGTAGACTTTCTCATCTTCTCATTTCTATGCTTATTCAGTTTTTCTACATTTTCTGTACCTTTTATGTCTAAGTTTATAAACATCTGTAAGACAAGCAATTATTCATTATTTACTGCTGTACTGCATCAATGTACCAATTGCCATGCTAGCAGTGGAAATGCATATGGCAGTTCCTGCCCTCAAGATGCTTTCAGTATGTTATAGGAAACAAAGAAACCAAGAGTGGCAACAGGGTATGAAGTGTCCTGACCACAACAGGAATGGTTCAGTGTTCTGAATCAACTCGAAGACTCTGACACTCCCAAATCAACAAAACAGCACCTAAACAAGGACTTTTGACCTACCTCCTTATTTCATCAGTTAAGCAAACAATGTGTTCCTGCATTCTGCGCAGCCGAATTTCATGACGCACATCTTTAGCTTGGGGGTTGTAGTTCCTGGCATAAAAGCCCCGCCAATAGGCCTGAAGTTTGGTGGCTGCTTCATTCAATTTCTGAAGGGCAACTTTATCTTGTCCCAGAGCAACAGATCTCTGGGTTAAAATCCCACAGGGAAGTTTCTCCGAAGCTGACTGAGACATGGTTTCTTCACTGTCTGGCTGTGTATGGAAGACACTGTGTCCAGCTGACTCAGGAAAAGATGTAAGACTATGGGTGTCATCCTTCAAGACAGCACTAGTTACTGTTGGCTCCAGACAAGGTAATAGCCCATCTTTCTCATTTACCTCTGTACTGATGACACTTTCCTTCATTTGAAAGGAATTCTCATTTGCAGTCCAAAAAGCCTTTTCATCTTCCTTATTAAAGTCCTGGTTTTCCAGCCCTTTCACAGATTCATCTGCAGCACCATAATCTTCTAGGCCCAAGTTAATGCCTTGTAGCCTCAGCTCAACTGTAGGTGACACTGGAGAGAGTCCTGATGCAACTGGCATAAAAGTAGATTCTGAAGAGAGAAGACTACAGTTTAACTTGTCCTCATCTGTCTGTATGTCTTCCAAGTGCAGGTCATTTCGAGAATATCTTGTAGTGGGTACAGAGGCTGGAAAGTTACTCTTAATAGCATATAATTGATCATCATTACTGTTAATCCCAACCCAAGAATTGACTTGGATGACGGGTTCTAGAAGAATCAACAAAGTATCATTGAAACCACTAAATATTTAAAAACGTTTTTAGTTTTATCTTTGTAATGAAATCTAACCCCCGAAATACAGTAAAATGCACTAAAATGCTTTGGTGATTTCCTCCAATATGCCTAAAACATCACACCAAAGACTTTTAAGAAAATGAATTCTTGTAATGATCATTAGAGTAATCAAAGATCAGGTCAATACAAAAGGTAGTAACTCTGAATATATTTTAAAAATTAGAAATAAAGCACAGTGAAGGAAACAATCAACAAAATGGAAAGGCAACCTACGGAATAGGAGAAGATATTTGCAAATGACATATCCGATAAAGGGTTAGCATCCAAAATATTTAAAGAATTGATACAACTCAACACCCACAAAACAAATAATCCAATCAAAAATTAGAAGACATGAACAGACATTTCTCCAAAGAAGATATACAAACGGCCAACAGACACATGAAAAGATATTCAACATCATCAGGGAAATGCAAATCAAAACTACAATGAGATTATCACCTCACAACTGTCAGAATGGCTAAAATCAAAAACACAAGAAACAACAATTGATGGCAATGATGTAGAGAAAAAGGAACCCTTGTGCACTGTTGGTGGGAATGCAAACTGGTGCAGCCATTGTGGAAAACAGGATGGAGGTTCCTCAAAAAGTTAAAAATAGAATTACCATATGATCCAGTAATCGCACTACTGGGTATTTATCCCAAAAATACAAAAACAATAATTCAAAGGGATACATGCACCCCTCTGTTCACTGCAACATTATTTACATTCGCCAAATTATGGAAGCAGCCCAAGTGTCCATCAATAGATAAAAGGATAAAGAAGATGTGAGATATTTATACACACACACACACACACACAACGGATTAATATTCAGCCATTATAAGGAATGAAATCTTGCCATTTGCAACAACATGGATGGATCTAGAGAGTATACCACTAAGTGAGATAAGTAAATCAGAGAAAGACAAGTACCATATACCACTCATATGTGGAATTTAAGAAACAAAACAGATGAGCAAAGGAAAAAAGAGAAAGAGACAAACCAAGAAACAGACTCTTAACTATAGAGAACAAATTGGGGCGCCTGGGTGGCTCAATCGTTAACCATCTGCCTTAGGCTCAGGTCATGATCTCAGGGTCCTGGGATCGAGCCCCGCATTGGGCTCCTTGCTCAGTGGGAAGCCTGCTTCTCCCTCTCCCACTCCCCCTGCTTGTGTTCCCTCTCTCACTCTGTCTCTCTCTGTTAAATAAATAAATAAAATCTTTAAAAAAAAAAAAAAAACTATAGAGAACAAACTGATGGTTACCAGAGGAGAGGTGGATGGAGGGATGGGTGAAATAGGTGATGAGATTAAGGAGGGCACTTATCAAGATGAGCACTGAGTAATGTATGAAATTGTTTAATCACTATATTGTACATCCGAAACTAATATAACACCGTGTATTAACTATACCAGAATTAAAATAAAAAACCTAAAAAAATTACCAGTGACAAAAATAATAAATAAAAATTAACACTGGCTGGAAGCAATCTCATTCCTGATCTCCTAAAGCACTTTTCTTTTGACCGTTGTGATTCAGTGACCCCTTACACTTGGCTTTCTATGATGTGTGCATTTGCCTCACCTCTTATGATGTTTTAATCACTTTTGTATCCCCCTAGCTGCTCAATAAATATTTTAATGAATCAAAAAAAAAAAATTAACACTGGGCAACCCTCTTGGGTGCCTTCCCTCCTCGGGAGCTTTATACTATCACTTCGCTATCACTCAATAAACCTTGCTTCGCTGCCCACCAAAAAAAAAATTAAAATTAAAATTAAAACTTTAAAATATAGTAATTTTACATTTATGTCTGTATATATACAGACATAAAATATAAGACCTAAATGTTCACTTAACAAACCAAAAATTATGAAAATATGTACTTTTTCCTCCTAAATGGTAGCTAACAAGTGGAACAACTTGGAGAAAACAGATCAGAGATCAATTAATTTCATACCGCTTTCCTGGACTATCTGGCCATCTTGAACAGGGCTTGAATGCTCAGGTACAAGGGGTGCTCTTGTTTCAATAGGAGCAAGAGGGGCTAGCTCTTCACTTTGGCTTTGGTTCATCAACTGTCTCTGGTGAAACCTAAAAATCAATAACATCTGATGGGATTTAACAAAAACCACAAAAATAAAGTTTTTCTGCTTCTTACATAATACTGTCAAAAAGGTAGAAATTTACAAGTTTTCAAAGTAGATCTCTTTCATCACTGCCAAATTACAAAGTCAAGTTTGAAAGCACTGGATAGAAAGGTTAAGAAACTTATTTTTAAGGGGCGCCTGGGTGGCTCAGTCGTTAAGCATCTGCCTCCAGCTCAGGCCATGATCCCAGGGTCCTGGGATTGAGCCCCGCATCGGGCTCCCTGCTCAGCGGAGAGCCTGTTTCTCCCACTCCCCCTGCTTATGTTCCCTCTCTCTCTCTGTCAAATAAATAAATAAAATCTTTAAAAAAAAGAAACTTATTTTTAAATCACAATCCCACAGACACCCTTATAGGCACACATATGCACACTCAAAGGCAGGCTCTCTGATAAAAGAAGTGACTAGTACAACCTTCTAGCTTCAGTCTTTAATGTTAGTATTAAAGAACCCATACGAAACACCTACATTAAAAGGACAAAAATTTTTTTTTAAATCCCAGTCCCCCATACTGCTCGGCTCTCCCCACTCAGGAAATGATGAACAATGCAGCTGCTGTAGAGCAAGCTTGACAGCACTGCATGGTTTAGTTCCCCTGCAGGACTGCTGCAGTAACAAGGGGCCCAAGTGCCCAGAAACATGGGTCACAGCACTTGCCCCAGTCCTACAACCCATGCAGGAAAGACTCAGAGGTATTTCCACTTGTGAATTATCAGCTGCTACAAATAAAGGGGCTTACCTCTGTTTGCTCAGAATCTTCTCTAGTTTGGCATCCTCTGCAGTCTGAAGACCCAGTGTGGAAGTGAGAGGACAGACTGTAGCCAGATACTGCACAAGCTGGATATGCTGGCCTGGCCGATATGCTCTCCCCTTGCCTTGACTATAGAGCCATTCAGCTTTCAAACTGGAATTAGGGAACATACAGGAGAGGATATGATACCAGCATAGACAAGATACATTTTGAAGCAACAACGATCTTCCTTCTTAATTTACAGCATCACTGGTGATTTTCATAAATAAAATTCAGTTATAAGTTTTTTTTTTTAATCTTTCCTTCTGGGGGCACCTGGGTGGTTCAGTCATTAAGCGTCTGCCTTCGGCTCAGGTCATGATCCCAGGGTCCTGGGATCAAGCCCCGCATTGGGCCCTCTGCTCGGCAGGAGGCCTGCTTCTCCCTCTCCCACTCCCCCTGCTTGTGTTCCCTCTCTCACTGTGTCTTTGTCAAATAAATAAATAAAATCTTTAAAAAAAAAAATCTTTCCTTCTGATTCACTCCCTTTACTCTTCTAATGTTTTAAACCTTTGTTTTTACTTAGGGGCACTTCCACAGAGTTGCACTCATGGTTCCAAATATCTTTAAATTATTTTCAAAGAAGCAATAAGTATTTCCTCTATTCACTATCAAACTAAAGTACCTAAATACATCAGTTACATTTAAATCCATTAATTCATAATGACAGTTAAAAAAAGCTAATTGGTCACAGCTGGAGGATGCTAGTGAACCACCAACACATTATTTTTAAAAACTGGTAAATAAAGGACAAGAATTCAATATTATTAATTCTATCTTTCCTATACAAACTAAACATGAGGGGCCAAATAGTTTTACTTTATAGAAGTATTCCAGCTAATAAAATGAATGAATTAAAATCTCACCATTTTGAAGCTCTTAGTGAATGAATTAATGGTTTTAGGCATTGATCATTAATAGCTACTAATAACATGAAGGACAACCAAACACTATGTGTCTCCTTGTGTGTGTGTGTGTCTTGACAGAACCCAAAAAGTAGTCCTCTCCACTAAAAAGCCTAAGTCTGATGAAACCTCCACATCCTCCTACCAATATACAGGAAACATAAGAAAGAAAGCCTAAATCTGATGAAACCTCCACATCCTCCTGCCAATTTACAGGAAATATAAGAAAGGACACAGGAATTTAATCAGCAAAATAAGCACAGTGGGAAACTCTACAGGACACATAATCTGAGTTTTTTTTAATTTTATTTATTTATTTGACAGAGAGAGACACAGCGAGAAAGAGAACACAAGCAGGGGGAGTGGGAAAGGGAGAAGCAGGCTTCCCGCAGAGCAGAGAGCCTAAGGCGGGGCTCGATCCCAGGATCCTGTGATCATGACCTGAGCCGAAGGCAGACACTTAACTACTGAGCCACCCAGGCACCCCCACATAATCTGATTTTTTTCAACAACAACCAAAAAAACAGAAAAGAAAGCAAAGAAAATAAAAGAGAAGAAACCTATAAATTAAAAGAGATTTAAGGGTGCCTGGGTGGCTCAGTTGGTTAAGCGACTGCCTTCGGCTCAGGTCATGATCCTGGAAGTCCTAGGATCGAGTCCCGCGTAGGGCTCCCTGCTCAGCAGGGAGTCTGTTTCTCTGACCTTCTTCCCTCTCATGCTCTCTCTCTACCATCCTCTCTCTCTCTCTCAATAAATAAATAAAAATCTTTAAAAAAATTAAAAAATTTAAAAAAATAAAAGAGATTTAAAAGCATCATCTTGGACATCTAGCCAAGCTCTGTGTGATCTCATCACAAGCTCATGAGAACCACCCAATATGCATGGCCAGCCCATAGAGCATTCAATAACAAATTAATGTTTTAAGTCACTAAAAAAGCAAGAAAGAAATTTAAAAGATGTTCAACTAAACACAATGAGAGGTCTTATTTGGATCCTGTTTCCAAAAAAACCATTTAAAAACTGCATTTATGAGGGCTACTAGAAATGTAAGCACTGAACTAATATCTTATGTTACTAAGAAATTGTGAAATTTTTTTGAGATGTGATAATAGTATTGTAGTTATTTCCTTAAGAGCCTTTATCTTTGGGCGCCTGGGTGGCTCAGTTGGTTAAGTGACTGCCTTCGGCTCAGGTCATGATCCTGGAGTCCCGGGATTGAGTCCCGCATGGGGCTCCCTGCTCGGCAGGGAGTCTGCTTCTCCCTCTGACCCTCCCCCCTCTCATGCTCTCTCTCTCATTCTCGCTCTCAAATAAAATCTTTAAAAAAAAAAAAGAGCCTTTATCTTTTAGAGATAGACGCTGAAATATTCACAGTTGAAATTACATGTACTTTTGAGATTTGCTTGAAAATAATATAGGAGGGTGCTGGCTCAGTTGGTTAAGCGACTGCCTTCGGCTCAGGTCATGATCCTGGAGTCCCTGGATCGAGTCCTGCATCGGGCTCTCTGCTCAGCAGGGAATCTGCTTCTCCCTCTGACCCTCCCCCCTCTCCTGTGCTCTCTCTCTCTCATTCTCTCTCTTTCAAGTAAATAAAAAAATCTTTAAAAAAAAAAAAAGGAAAGAAAATAATATAGGAGAACAGGGATGAAGGTACAGACAACTAGGTTGGCCATGAGCTGTAAACTGTTGCAGTTGGATGATAGATTCATGGGAGGTCACTACACTACTGTTTACTTTTACATATGTTTCAATTTTTTTTAATTAACATGCCATTGCCTCAATTTCACCATTCTTAAATCTACCCCTCAACTTGGAAGTTGAGGTTGGATCATTTTGCAAATAGTTCGAAAATCACTTTCAATCCACAACCATTTACTTGGACCTTGATATTAAGGTATCCACATCATACAAACTACAGTCCAAAATTGTCAAGCCACCCGAGTGTTATTATAGACTGAAAGGAAACTGGCCCTTTGATAACTCATTAAATCATGCAAAAGAGTCACGGTGCAAATAAAATAAAATTAGTTTTCTGTGATTTGCCAGTATCACAAGAAAGGAAAAACTGTTTTCTAATAATTAGATACAAGGTATGCCTAACTGAGTAACTGAAGTCTCAGAATCCCAATCTTAGTCTAATTTTATTCTAGGGGCGCCTGGGTGGCTCAGTCGTTAAGCATCTGCCTTCGGCTCAGGTCATGATCCCAGGGTCCTGGAATCGAGCCCCACGTCGGGCTCCCTGCTCCACGGGAGGCCTGCTTCTCCCTCTCCCACTCCCCCTGCTGGTGTTCCCTCTCTCGTTGTGTCTCTGTCAAATAAATAAATAAAATCTTTAAAAAAAAAAAAATTTTTATTCTAGGGATGCCTGGGTGGCTCAGTCGGTTAAGTGTCTGCCTTCAGCTCAGGTCATGATACCAGGGTCCTGGGATCAAGCCCGTCATTGGGCTCCCTGCAGGGAGCCTGCTTCTCCCTCTCTCACTGCCTGCTGCTCCCCCTGCTTGTGCACTCTCTCTCTCTCTGACAAATAAATAAAATCTTTAAAAAAAAATTTTATTCTACCTAATAAAAATAATTTAAGTATTTCTTCCATGAATGAGTCTGTGTATTAAATAAAGATCAGGGTGCCTGCATGGCTCATTTCAGTTAAGCGTTTGACTCTTGATTTCGGCTCAGGTCATGATTTCAGGGTCGTGGGATCAAGCCCTGCGTTGGGCTCCACACTGGGCATGGAGCCTGCTTAAGATTCTCTCTCTCTCCCTTCTCCCTCTGCAGCTCCCCCAACCTGTGCTCACCTGCTTTCTCGCTCTCTAAAAATTAAAAAAAAAAACATTCAGAATGTTCTTGAAATCTGCTCTAAATCTCCCTAAGTTCTCCTGCCAAGCAAATGGTGTGTTGAAAAGCTGTTCCCCAAAAAGGTCCATACTAAAGGATAATCACCAACTTTAATATTAGCCAGCAAGCAACATTTCCAAGTTATAGATGGTTTGTAGTTGGGAAGGAAAGAGACGTGAAAGTAGGAGCAGAGAGAAACTAAGCTCTGACTTGAATATTCCACAGTTTTAAGTGCGTGAGGACAATTACAAACTGTGGAGCATCAACTACTGTTAACATGTTTCTCCGCTTCTGCTTCACATTCATCAATAAACATATCATTACACAAGTTTATTAATCCATAAAATATTCTCCTAGGTAAAAAAATCTCCTTATCCATTAAAACATCATTGACAATTCAAAGAAAAATAAAACTAAGATTCATTCAGCTCTAACATATTAATTTCAAATCATTAGAATATGATTCTTCTCTTGAAATTGAAGGAACAATTTACATAATATAACAAGTAACAATGATTAAGAGAGAAAATTTAAAACAATCTGCTCTTGGGGCACTTGGGTGGCTCAATCAGTTAAGCATCCAACTCTTGATTTTGGCTCAGGTCATGATCTCTCAGGGTCATTAGATCAAGTCCCGCATTGGGCTTCATGCTTAGCGTGGAGTCGACTTGAGACTCTTTTCCTCTCCTTCTGCCCCTCCCCCTGCCCACACTCTCTATCTCTCACTAAAATAAATAAATAAAATCTTTAAAAAAAAGTTTGAGTTTTAGGGGTGCCTGGATGGCTCAGTCAGTTAGGCATCTGCCTTCAGCTCAGGTCATGATCCCAGGGTCCTGGGATCAAGCCCCACATTGGGCTCCCTGCTTGGCAGAGAACCTGCTTCTCCCTCTCCCTCTTCCTGCTGCTCCCCCTGCTTATTCCCTCTCTCTCCGTCAAATAAATAAAATCTTTAATAAAAATAAAAAAATAAAAAAAGTTTCAGTTTAAAAAATAGAATAAAATAATCTGCTCTTTCTCATTAAAAAAAAAGAGTATTAGATGAAATGATATCTGGTTATCTGCTTTTAAAATACTCCAACAGGGGTACCTGGGTGGCTCAGCTGGTTAGACAACTGCCTTCAGCTCAGGTCATGATCTCAGTGTCCTGGGATTGAGCCCCATGTCAGGCTCCTTGCTCAGCAGGGAGTCTCCTTCTCCCTCTCCTTCTGCCCCTCCCCTCCGCTCATGCTCTCTCTTGTGCTCTCAAATAAATAAAATCTTAAATGAATAAATAATACTCCAACAAAAATGTGGGGATATGTGAAACAAGACTGGCAAAGTTGGTAATTGTTGAAGTGGCATGGTGGGTATTTAGGAGTTCATTATGGTACTCTATCTACTTCTGTATATATTTTAAAAATCCTTTCAAAAAAGAAACATCTCCAAAGTTCTGCTCCCTAAATTCTAATCTCCAACTAAACAATAGAGGTGTAGCTTGGGACTAGGTCCTATAAAGAGTCAAACAGAAATGGAAACAAATTTAGAAAGAACTCCAAATACTGAGGTGCTGCACAAAGGTGCTGGTCTTTCCATAGGTGTGCCTCTCTCTGAGAAAGCACTCAGCCATAGCACCACTAGGATGGGTGACCACTCAAATTACTCTTTCCAGTGAAACACACACTCAAGATCTGGCTACCTGAAGTCATCAAAGCACCCAGGATACTTTCCACGGTGCCTGGCTGGCTCAGTCATAATGAACAAAATGTTTAATCCGGATGTTCCCTGCAAATAACAGGCTGGGTAGAAACAAAAACTAGAGATTCCTTCCTGTCCTTCAGGGCAATTCCCAAGGTTGACCAGGAAAATGTTTTGAACACTGCTCAGGCATCGAATTTTAATACAAGAGCTCTCCCTTAGAATACTTCCAGAGTTGTTTTCAAACACAGAAGCACTGTGTAGACTACAGAGTTGTCTCAGACATCAACTGCAGCAGCATTTTTCTCTACTACGGCATCAACAACAATCTAGGTTCCTTAGTTTGAATGTAACTATTGACTCATTCTTCTATGGACTGACATTTGGATTGTTTCCCAAATGTACCAAATAGCTCCAAAATGTTTGCAGCTGTTATGAGTAAGGCTACTACGAACATGCTTGTACATGTCTTCTGGTAGACATAAGCACCTAGTTCTGTAGGATATATACCAGAAGTCAAATTGCTGGGTCATAGTGTATTTTCATGGTTAGCTTCACTAAACATGCCAGTTTTTCAAAGTGGTTGCACCACTTACATTCCTAGAACAGTGTATGAGAGTTCTAACTGCTCCACATACTCATCAACACTTAGTATTGTCTGTCCTTTTAATTTTAGCTACTCTGGTGGAAGTTGGTTGAAAACCTCATAGTAACCAGGAAAAAAATAATCTTTCTGAACTATCAAAAAGGCAGTACAATGGTTATTTATGGAGGGGAGGGGAGTTCTGATGGGAGCAAAGTAAAGGAAGTCTCTGGAATGCTCATTATATTCTTTTCTTATTCTCAGTGGTGATTATGTAGGTATTTCTAAATACCATTTTTTTAACTACATCTGAATTATATGCTACCTTGCAAGTTTTTTTTAAATGTTGGGGGGGGAAAGAAACTGTTGCTGTTGTGCTATCCTCCCATCTCTTCTTTCCCTCCGTATTTATTTAGTGTAGGATGACCCTACAGAGAGAAAGACCACCCCAAGTGAAAGCCCACACTTCCCTACCTCCTGAAGTCTCTGAAATTAGAGAAAGTTTAAAAAAACATTCAAATTGGGGCGCCTGGGTGGCTCAGTCGGTTAAGCGTCTGCCTTCAGCTCAGGTCATCATCCCAGGGTCCTGGGATCGAGCCCGGCATCGGGTTCTCTGCTTGGCGGGAGGCCTGCTTCTCCCTCTCCCATTCCCCCTGCTTGTGTTCCCTCTCTCGCTGTCTCTCTCTCTGTCAAATAAATAAATAAAATCTTTTAAAAAAATAAATAAAAAAATAAAAAACATTCAAATTCACCTTAAAGTCACTTGGATTAAAACCATTTCCACTGTACAGAAACACAGTCTTCACATTATTATTCATCTATTCAACAGATATCTTCTGCTTTTTATTTTTTTAAGTAAGCTCTATGTCCAACATGGTGCTTGAACTCATAACCCTGAGATCTAGAGTTGCATGCTCTATCAACTGAGCCAGTCAGGCACCCCAAATATCTTCTGCTTTTTAACACTTGCTTTAGTTTCTACAAAATGCTTCAATTCCTAGTCCCTATCTTTTAGTAATAATGACAATTACCGTTTTTTAAGCACCTACCATATGGCCAATATTATGCCATATGCATTAGCCTTAATCCTCATTCTTAAAAGCTAGGTACTATCATCCACATTTTACAGATGAGAAAACTAAAGCTCAGAGAAGCTAAGGAACTTGCCCAGGCCACACAGCTAATGAGTGGCAGGGAAACATGTGAATTCTTCTCTTGTCCCTTTTCCCATGTCTCTTCACACCAAACCCTTCTCTCTGCCTATCTCACCATGCTACCTCCCATATATGACGATGTTGCCAGTCCTACTCATATAGAAAAATCTGACAAGTATTTTTTTTCTCTTAAAGGAAGAGTCGGGGGCGACTGGGTGGCTCAGTCATTAAGTGTCTGCCTTCGGGGCGCCTGGGTGGCTCAGTCGTTAGGCGTCTGCCTTCGGCTCAGGTCATGATCCCAGGGTCCTGGGATCGAGTCCCGCATCGGGCTCCCTGCTCTGCGGGGAGCCTGCTTCTCCCTCTCCCACTCCCCCTGCTTGTGTTCCTGCTCTCGCTATCTCTCTGTCAAATAAATAAAAAATCTTTAAAAAAAAAAAAAAAAAAGTGTCTGCCTTCGGCTCAGGTCATGATCCCAGGGTCCTGGGATCGAGCCCTGCATCAGGCTCCCTGCTCTGCAGGAGGCCTGCTTCTGCCTCTCTCACTCCCCCTGCTTGTGTTCCTTCTCTGGCTGTGTCTCTCTCTGTCAAATAAATAAAATCTTTAAAAAAATAAAATAAAATAAAATAAAGGAAAAGTCAGAGAAGATAATCAAGGTAAGCCCATATTCAAGCTTTTAGAACTAGCCATAGTTGAAAACAGAATCACTTTCTGAGTATGTAGCAACACATACTGCAAGAGAAAGGAAAAGCCACGATTTTTTGTTTTGTAGGCAAACTAGACCTGACGTATGTTGCTCACCCTCCACCAGCATCACCACTATGTAGGTCTTAGCTACCATTCCTCACTGCCTCACATCTTATTCAGCAACTAGATGAAACAGCAGGAAGAAGGAAAAGGAAAACCCTGTCCGTAATCTACCACTCATCTTCCTCAAGCAGATATACCAGTCTCTAGTACAGGTGGACAAAAATGGTGAGGAATAATGTACCTGTTGAGTCCATGAATGCATATATGTACACACTGAGAGGAGAAAGTGAAATGAGGCAAACTGAAGAGAATAAACTCATCTCAATTCATACTATCCCCTCCAACTCCATCCCCTCTTGTTCACATCCTAGTTTCTTATCTCCCCTAAAGTTCTGATTCCAATGATCATATGCCAGTGCCCAGAAGACCCCATCATGCAGAGGTCCCAGCTCCAAGTGCAAAAACCATCAGTGCTTAGAGATTGGAGAGTTTCCACTTCTGCTGCTTCACACATATGAGTAGAGAAGGACCAATCAGTATGTCTGCTACCAGTTCCAAACTGAAACTCTGCATGAATTTTCCCACAGAATCATTGTTATAAAGGGTAATTAGGTCCTATTCTTTTTTAAGATTTTAATTTTTTTTTAAAGATTTATTTATTTATTTGCAAGAGAGAGAGATAGTGAGCAGGGGGAGAGGCAGAAGGAGAGAATCTTTCAAGCGGACTCCACGCTGAGTGCAGTGCTCCACACAGGGCTTGATCCCACAACCCATGAAATCATGACCTAAGCTAAAACCAAGAATGGGACGCTTAACCGACTGAGCCACCCAGGTACCCCTAAATATTTTCCTTATTATTTGAGAGAGAGAGAGAGAGAGCATGTGTGCAGGCAGGGGCAAGGGCAGAAAGAGAAGGAGAGAATCTCAAGCAGACTCCATGCTCAGCACGGAGCCCAACACGGGGCTTGAACCCACACTGTGAGATCATGACCTGATCCAAAACTAAGAGTCAGATGCTTAACCAACTGAACAACTGAGGCACCTCGGGTCTTATTACTAATACTGCCCTTACATACAAGATGGATTAGAAGCTTTTGTGGGATTGACCTGAGACCCTACACAGCATCCATAATATGATTTCTATAGAAAATGCTCTAAGCCCCGCAAACAACCAATTAACAAAAGAACTTTCAGTAATCAAATTGTTGTGTGTTGGGCATTAAGTTAAACTCACTAGCCCCAAACTCTCAGACTGATATTTCTTATCCTTTCTTAGAAAGGATAGAAAATCCTAAATGAACAGCATATAGTTAGTTTGCTATATGATTGCATTAATGATCTTAATTCCTAAATGCACATTTTAAGAAATATTCAGTTTAGTAATCTGTAGTAAGCTAGAAATGGTCTTTTCAGTAACTTCCATGATAAATGTGACATTAAAAAGGTCATATTCAGGGCGCCTGGGTAGCTCAGTTGGTTGGGTGACTGCCTTTGGCTCAGGTCATGATCCTGGAGTCCCGGGATCAAGTGCCGCATCAGGCTCCCTGCTCAGCGGGGAGTCTGCTTCTCCCTCTGACCCTCCCCCCTCTCATGTTCTCTCTCTCTCAAATAAATAAAATCTTAAAAAAAAAGGTCATATTCACCTTTCCTTCTGAGAAATCACGTATCCATCTAGAACTCTGAGGTTTAAGCACCAGCTGACAATGTATGGCCGATAGTCAAACCCTGGAATGGACGGTGTTGCCATCACACAAGGATTGTTCATGATCGATAACTGTTCCAATTCAGTTAAGGATGCCAAAAAAGAGATCTGGAACAAAGGATATCTTTGTTGAATGAAATGGACTATTTAGTATTAAGCACAGGGCTTCCTTTGAGAAAACATCCTCGGCAATTTGAGAATGTAACAATTTCCCTCTTGTTCTGAAAAGCAACAAGTAACACTCTTACATTATCCACTGACTTCCAAAATTCCATCAATATGGCCATCTGTCCTTGCTGCACAAATACCTTACAAAATATCAGCACTGTTTCCTAACAGAGAAAATCCTATTTTGAAAACATAATAGCAGCCAGAGAAAGGTGTACAGTGTCCTTATTGATCCCTTTAACATCGATATACCTCTACCACAAATCAGTTCCAAATGGAGTAAGAGTGGCAGCATTACAAATGAAATTAAGCCTTAATGACCCACTGACATTAAGAAAAAGTAGAAAGAAAAATAATGATCATCTTGAGCCAAGTGTTTCCTCTTTTTGGCGGTATCTTCCAAGATGCTCACAGTTTACAAGTGAGCTCACAACTTTCTCTTGAGTCTCTTCTGTACTTTGCAGCTTCCTGTATGCCACAGAATACCCTCCAATTTTACCTCATTTAAGTCCCGAATTTCATTTTCTGCCAAGGAAAGTATAGCAAGACTTCTGGGTAGATAAGCAGGTGCCATTCTAAGAGAGGTGATGATGTTTCCATGTAAAAGCAGGGTCTTGAAAGTAAAAACAGGACGAATTACAAATGAAAAGATTACAATTTATCTACTTTGACATAACCAAAATGGTGCATATAAAAATAAAAGGATCTATTTTATTAAACTTTTCATCACTTACAAACAGACTATTAATGTTACAAGGCTCCTAGGTGGTCTTCTGGTCCAACTCTCTTTTCATGTCCACATTCCAAGCTCAAGAAAGTTTAAAGATTTGTCCAAGAACACATAGCTTAGTGTAATAAATAGCATTTTTTGAGATTTAAATTATTAAAACTTGAGCAATTTCCAACATATTGTTCATTTCCTTTTAAAACATCAAAATAGGGTGCTCGCTTCGGCAGCACATATACTAAAACATCAAAATAGGGGTGCTTGGCTGGCTCAGTCAGTACAGCATGTGACTCTTGATCTCAGGGTTATGAATTCTAGCCCCATGTTGGATGGAGATTCCTTAAAAATAAAATCTTAAAAAAAAAATCAAGGGGCACCTGGGTGGCTCAATTGGTTAAGTGTCTGACTCTTGATTTCGGCTCAGGTCATGAGATCAAGCCCCGTGATGGGCTCTGCACTGGGTGTGGAGCCTGCTTAAGAGTCTCTCTCTCTCCCTCTCCTTCTACCCGCCCTCCTCACATGCTCTCTCTCTCTAAAAAAAAAAAAAAAAAGTAATCAATCAAAATAAAGGGTGAGCAAAGTAAAAGTAAACATTCATTAAAACAATCACATATAGGGGCGCCTGGGTGGCTCAGTCGGTTAAGCATCTGCCTTTGGCTCAGGTCTTGATTCCAGGGTCCTGGGATCAAGCCCCGCATCAGGCTCTCTGCTCAGTGGGGAGCCTGCTTCTCCCTCTCCCTCTGCCTGCTGCTCCCCCTGCTTGTGTTCTCTCTCTTTCTCTCTGTGTCAAAATAAATAAAATAAATCACATATAAAGCAAATTTTCCAAAAGAGAAAGAGGTAACCCACAACCTATAATTTACAACTGTTTTCTCTTGAAAACTAAAAGCTTAAGGAAGGACCAATACACTACTTGCAGATGAAGCTGACTCAAATTAAGTCAACAACAATGAAGAATAACTGAAGGCTTTGAATACCCAGGATTCTGATAAAGTAATCATTCCAGAAAAAAAAAAATCCGTAGTTCATCTGAATTCTCAGTATCTGGACACATCAGATTGTTTAGAGTAATTCTTGCTAAAAATGATTTATGCTAAAGATGTGGGGAAAGTTGATCTAATAATACTGCTTCTAAGGTTTCGCGAGTTTATCTGATACTAATAATATCCAATGATGCAAAAATGTGCAAAAAGCCTACATGTTTTTGAAGCTGTAATTGCAACTGTTACTTCTCTGATTGCATAATAAATTCCCCTCCATAAAAAGTGCTATATGCTACAGGTTTACTTTTTAAATTAAAGTTACTTTTGATAATTTAGTAATACCTTTTACTCAAAAAACAGCAATCCCAGGCGTCAAAAACACAAACTCAAATTCAGGAATGATCACTCTCAACTTTACCAATATGTTACATATTATATAGCTAAAGCTGCTAGTGTTTGGCTGATTAGGCATAAGGGGGATTTCATTATGTTCATAGGATGACAAATAAGAATTAACCTTAACTACAATGACCAGTTCTAGTTAAAATAAATCAATTACAGAAACTAAAAACAAAGAGTTGCATACTTAATTTCTGGTGCTCTAACAGAAATTTTATCATAATGTACACAATCTGTTCTTCATACAGAGTAGGCTGATTTTAGGCCAATCAGATCACTTTCTTTTCGTATATTAGTATAAAATTAGTATAAAATTTCAGAAATGACATGAAAATTTCAGAAATGACATGAAAATGTCAGAAATGACACACTTACCTTCAGTGATACCAATTTAGATAGATCACCTATCTGGGGTATGTTATTGTCTGATAAATCAAGGTGCTGTAGAGCTGCGCAGCTACTGATTTGTTCCATGGCCTATCACAAGAAAAGCATCACACTAGTTCATGTACACAAAATCAAAAAATGAAATTCTTCCCTAGTTCCTCATAGCTGAGTCTCCTGCCTCCTCTGCTTATTATTGGAAGCAGAGGAGCAGTATTTAACAGAAAGAGGAAGTAGTAATAACAGAATTTGGTAAATTGTTATATAGCAAGCTTCTACCATCATTATCCCAAGAGGAGAGGATCATATCACCCCAGATATTTATAGCTTGAAAAAACCTTAGTGATAACACATGACAGTTGGTACAGTATAGAGTTTACAAGTTAAGAGTGAAGTCAAACTGCATGGATTCAAATCCTGTCTCTGCAACTCCTGGCTATGTGACCTTAAGCAAGTTACTTTACTTCTCTGTACTCCAGTTTTTCATTTATGTAATAGACATAATGATTTTTTACCTACTTCATAGGCTGTCATGACACTGAATGAGGTAATACAGTTAAGGTGCATACGATAGTACCTAGCATAAATTAACTGATCAATAAGCAAGCTATTAATATCATTTAATTGAGTTCCCTCATCTAATATATCAAAAAATAAGACATGGAGATATTTATTACACAAAAATATAGAGCTACTAAGTGATGGAAGCAGGACTAGAATCCAGATCTCTTGACTTTTAAGACAGTATATTCTCCACTATACCATTAAACATGTACTTACAGCTTAATTCAGCATGCTACAGTACCCCTACAGTTTATGCTACTTTTTGACAACTTTTCTAAGTATAACACAGATTCTTTGTTCACATTTAAAAGAATATTATACTGCATATGTGTTTCAAAATAAATTCTTTTTTCAGTTTATGTTAACTAAAATTATCCCTGGGAAGTGGGAGTAGATACTTTCACTTTTTATCCTACTTATTTCTATACTGCTTGAGTTTTTTTTACAGTGAATACTTTTATAAATTAAAAAAAGAAAACGCAACTACTAAAAAAAAAGAAACAATTCACCTTGAGATTATTTCCTGCCAAATTCAGCCATTCCAAATGTACTAGATCCTTCAGCCCCTCCACATAGCCAATGCTGTTATGAGGCAAATTTAACACCCGGAGTTGGGTCAGTTTGGCCACACCCATCATTCGCACCAGCCGATTATTAGCCACTGACAACTGTGGAAAGAAAACATATCATTCTCTTAGAAATAAAATATGCATATTATTTTCACATGAGTGTGGTTAAAAAGATTTGTTTATATGGCCAAACATTCCCAAATATACAAACCCAATTTCAACTTCTCACATTAAATACTCTATAGTGTAACTATTTGTTGTTGTTGTTGTTCTAAGTTGTTCCTAAGCAATGGAAAATACACATAAAACTGAGCAATCAGACCCTCTCCAACTGTTCAAGAGAAAACATTTGTAACAGAGCAACTACTTGAGAGTAGTGCCAGATACATGAGGAGCCCAATAAACATTTGTTGACAGAATGAATGAATGAACTCTTTACCTCCATCATGATGTAAAAGGTTATCTTAACACAATGCTTTGCCAACACAAAATGTTTTGTTTTTTTAACAAATGCTTCTTTTTCTAATCTATTTTAAATGTAGCACATGTGTTCATCTTCAAGGAAAATTGTCATGTAAAAATTTAAGATAACATTTACTGCTTTCTAGGCCTGCAGAGTTATTCTTTGTCAGGTTATTTTATTGTTTTGTAGAATAATAAACATATATAACTATTTCCCCCAGATGGCAATACCTACCTGTATTAATTGTCGGCATTTCTCAAGATTTTCCAATTTAATAATCTGATTTTTATCCAGAATCAAAGTATGAATATCAGCTTCACAGGGTAAGTTTGGACTTAATTTCTGTAACCCCTGTCCTGACCAATTGACCACTGATCCTTGAAAATAGAAGAGAAATTATTAGAAAACACAAATACAAAGCCGAGCATGGAATTATATTCATAAAATCTCTATATTTAGAGTTAGAAAACACTAGAATATAATAAATATCAAGATGTAAAAATTAATGCAATCAAGTTCTAAATGACCACAGATTGAAACTGTTCGCTTTCCCTCCAAAATACCATATTACACCTAGAAATTTGTGATATTCTGCTCACAATACTTTGGAATTCTTCACGTTTAAATATGAACTACTGGGGATCGGTTAAGGCATCAACTCTTGATTTTGGCTCAGGTCATAATTTCAGGGTCCAGTGATGGAGACCCCAGTCAGCTCCACCCTCAAGATTCTCTCTCTTGAGGTGCCTGGGTGGCTCAGTCGTTAAGCGTCTGCTTTCGGCTCAGGTCATGATCCCAAGGTCTTGGGATGGAGCCCCGCATCAGGCTCCCTGCTCAGCGGGAAGCCTGCTTCTCCCTCTCCCACTCCCCCTGCTTGTGTTCCCTCTCTTGCTCTCTCTTTCTGTCAAATAATATTAAAAAAAAAAGATTCTCTCTCCCTCTGCCCCTCCCCTCAACCCCCTCCCATAGCCAGTGCAAGCACGCACTCTCTCAATAAACAAATAAATAATAAATAAGAATTATTCCATATTTTGTGGCTAAGTAATGATTGTCTTTTTAAAATGGAACTAATCTTTTGATAGAGATCAGCCTGCTTACAACCTAACTACCAGTATATCCTAAAGTGCCCAAACTATTTTTAAAATCAATGTATAGTTAATTTATCTACAAAATGGGAACAATACACCTAATTAATTAAATTGAGGTGAGGATGAAAACAGAAACCATATGAACAAAACTTAGCCCCACTCCTGGCATACCGCACTCAATAAAGTAATTTAGTTTCACAGACTTTCCAAATCCTGGCTCCCCCAGTAACCACTGTGGTATCTTGGGCAGGTTATAGATCTCTTTGGGGCTCACTTTTCCCCTCTACAAGATGAGGGTGATAATAATATCTGCCTTATAATGTTGTTCTACAGAGAAAATGAGACTACGTAAAAAAAAAAAAGCACTCAGAACAACGTCTGGCTCATATAAAAAGTGCTCTGTAAATGTTTACTGCTATTATTGTCAGTAAGTTCCCTTGGTGGGCTGAGGAGGTCGAGTTTAAGAGAAGCCGATATCAAAAAGGGGTGGGGCCACAGAAACTGCCAATTTCAAATGTATACCCAGATTAAGATTACTGTGGGAAATAATTATGCGAGATTGCTCTCCTGAAAGGTTTCAACGTCTTTTCATTGTCTGATGGATTCCAGAATTTGGGGGTGGTCATGGGGATTCCCTGAGAATTTGGTGAAAGCTGTGTACTGTCCAAGGAAAATGTAGTCTTTGCACACAGTTCCACGAGGTCGACAGACCTCTTAGAACCATCGATCCCCCTCACCCCCATCAAGAAGTCAGGGCCCCCAGATAATGACCCCCTGGTCTAAGCTGTGGAGAGAGGCCTAAACGCTCAAACCGGCCCCCGACCCAGAAGGGCTGCTGCGGAGCCTCGGAGCTGTAACCAAAACAAAGGAGCTCGGCTCACGCCCGGCGACTCCTGGCTACAGAAGCACCCACACCCCGCGCTCCGCTGGGTAGCGACCAAACCCGATCCCAAAACCTGGTCTGCAGAACAAGGAGGGGATATCTGTGGACTCTCGGTCACCCTGAATTTTACCACGGCCCCCGAACACTTCCAAAAAAGGGTTTAACGTCGGTCTAGGAGGTATGTTTGAGAGAGGGTTTCCTGAACGTGATAGGAACCGAGAAGATAAGGGAGACGCGTAAAGCGAAAGATAGAGATCCGGCAATTTTCACTTGGGCATCCAGAATTCAAAGTAAAAATCCAAGAAAGGTCACCGCAGTCCGAAACCCACCACCGAGGCAGCCTCAGAAGCGCGGGAGCCAAAGCGCCCGGCCGCGCGAAGGACCCTGGAGTTGTAGTCCCCAGCTCGGCCCTCTCCGCAAAGCCGCAGAACTAGACAGCACCCGGGAACTACAACTCCCAGAGGGCAGCGCGGCTCCGCGACGCCCACAGCCCGCATCAAAAGAACTGGTACAGAACTGCACCCCTAAACCCAGACTTCTTTTCTCCACCAGGTAACTATTAATTTAGTTCCATGGAGTAAACTTTGGGATTCAAGGGGTGGGGGGTTGCCTTACCTTCTCCAGGAGGCAAAGCCGGGTCGACGCGCGCCACCGCCATACTTCCCGCTTGCTAATAATACCAAGCAACCGTCCTCCAGCTGCTCGGTGGAGTTTGGAATCAGGAGGAGGGAGCCGGAAACTACAGCTCCCAGGATGCACGGCAACCAGACGGCCCAATTGGCTGCCTGCGTTTAATGACGTAAAATTCGGGTTAGAATCTGAGCCGCAGTGTGTTTAGGAACCCTGGTGAACTCCCTGATCTGACAGATAAGCAAACTATTGTTAGATGATCTTTTCGCTCCCTTTTCTAGGTGTCTGTGAAATTTGAAACTTTTACCATTGAGATGATTATAAGGTCGCTATTTAATACAGATCGAATTTGAGCGCTCACTGCTACAAGTCTCTAACGTGGCTGCCCCTTTTGACAATTCTGAGGTTGAAAGTTTTCTGCTCTGCTATAGGAATGACTTGGGCAATCTTGTTGAGATAGTCAAAATGGATACATTTCAACTTGAAAATTTAAAGCATTCTCGGATAGAAGGTTTTATACAGTATTTCTAAGTGGTTCTTGTATATTTAACAGAACTTTAGACCTGAGGGTATATCTAATAAGTATGAACCTAGAATTTTTGCAAGGAATATACAAAAGAATTTTACACTATAGTCTCCAAACTCAAATATTACACTGCCTAACTCGAGGGGAGTAGGCTCACACTTTTGCTATAACTATTACCTGCTAACTAGTATGATTGTAACTATTAACACAAGAGCTCAGCGAATGGAGAAAGAAATGAAAACAATAATCTTCAAAGAAGACTGGAAGGAGGAAGTGAAACTGAGCTAGGGCTTAAAAGATGGGTAGACTCTAGACAGTTCAGAAGTAGATGAAAAGACATTAGCATAGGCTGCAAGTGGGGTCAGTTGGTAATGAAGCTGCTCTCACAGGAAGTGAGAGACTAACCTAATAGCAGGACAGAATGTACAAAGGGAACTTACAATCTCTATTACACATGCCTCCATTCCCTCTTGCAATCTTTATTCTGAACTCCCCTCTTTCTGAAACAGCAATATACAAAATCTCTGACAATTTGTGGTTTGGGAAAGTCCATTAACTCACACTTTTAGATTTCCGGGCCCTTGATCCTGTGAACTTTTCCTCCTTTATGGGTTCTCCTCTGATCTCTGTGACTACAACCCCCCTTAACTCTTTTTTTTTTAAGATTTTATTTATTTATTCATGAAAGACAGAGAGAGAGACAGAGAGAGAGAGAGAGAGAGGCAGAGGGAGAAGTAGGCTCCCAGGGAGCAGGGAGCCCGATAGGGACTCGATCCCAGGACCCTGGGATCATGACCTGAGCCGAAGGCAGAAACCATCTGAGCCACCCAGGCGCCCTTTTTTTTTTAATTTCAGTATTTATTTAAATTCCAATTAATTGGGCGCCTGGGTGGCTCAGTTGGTTAAGCGACTGCCTTCGGCTCAGGTCATGATCCTGGAGTCCCAGGATCGAGTCCCACATCGGGCTCCCTGCTCAGCAGGGAGTCTGCTTCTCCCTCTGACCCTCCCCCCCTCTCATGTGCTCTCTCTCTCATTCTTTCTCTCAAATAAATAAATAAAATCTTAAAAAAAATAAAATAAATTCCAATTAATTAACATATATGGTAAAATGAGTTTCAGTTGTAGGGGCGCCCGGGCGGCTCAGTTGTTTGAGGAACTCTTGATTTTGGTTCAGGTCATGATCTTGGGATTGTGGGATCCTGGGATCCAGCCCTGCATTGGGCTCCATGCTCAGTGGGGAGTCTGCTGGAGATTCTCTCTCTTTCCCTCTGCTCCTCCCTCCTGCTCTCGCTCTAGTAAATAAATAAATCTTTAAAAAAAAAACTGAGGGGCACCTGGGTGGCTCAGATGGTTAAGCGTCTGCCTTCGGCTCAGGTCATGATCCCAGGGTCCTGGGATCGAGTCCCGCATCGGGCCCCTGCTCCTTGGGAGCCTGCTTCTCCCTCTGCTTCTCTCTCTCTCACTCTCTCTCTCTGTCTCTCATGAATAAATAAATAAAATCTTTAAAAAAATAAAAATAAAAAATAAAAAAAATAATAAAATAAAAAAAAAACTGAGTTTCAGGTGTAGAATTTAGTGATTCATCACTAACATAAAACAGCCAGTGAAGTGCCCACCTTAATACCCATCACCTATTTAACTCATTCCCCTGCTAACCTCCCCTCCATCAAGCCTCAGTTTGTTCTCTATAGTTGAGTCTCTTATGATTTGCCTCTCTTTTTTCTCTTCCCCTATGTTCATCTGTTTTGTTTCTTCAATTCCACATATGAGTGAAATCATATGGCATTTGTCTTCCTCTAACTCGCACAACTTAACTCTTTTTTTCACTCTATTTCCCACTGTTTTATTCTGAAGACAAATTTCCTAGTTCTGAAGAGGTAATTAAGACTAGGAATCTTTCTCATCTAACAAAGAGGCCCCTTATTTATTTATTTACTTTAAAGATTTTATCCATTTATTTAACAGAGAGAGAGAGAGAGGCAGCGAGAGAGGGAACACAAGCAGGGGGAGTGGGAGAGGGAGAAGCACGCTTCCCGCCAAGCAGGGAACCCGATGTGGGGCTCAATCCCAGGACCCTGGAACCATGACTCGAGCTGAAGGCAGTCACTTAACCAACTGAGCCACCCAGGTGCCCCGAGGCCCCTTATTTAGAAAGCACAATCTTACTATATAGGTGTAAGAACAAAGCAAGTTTGAATACTGCCTCCTGCTTTGTTCCCTGGAATATCTGGTGAGGATTGAGGAGAGTCTGTAGCTCAGGGAGGGAGAAAGCGTTTACAGTTCTCTCCAATTTCGTAGGATAATGACCTGGGAGAGGGATCCTGGAAGCTCAGAGGGCACCAGAGGAGCACAGGTTCCTGCAAGTTTATAGCAATAGCAGAACCAGAATTCTGTCTGGTTCATCTGACCTAGAATCCAGAGGAAAGTATTCCTTTTATGGAGTCAACTAAGTATAATCCTGGATCCATAAAAGAGTGGCCAGATGTTCCTGGGCACAGTCCCACATCCTAAGTGAACCAGCAACCTTTAAAATCACACCTCAGAAACTCTTGTGCTTCAGATACAGCTTGTACATCTAAAATCAAATTGCTACACTGTAACTAAATTCTCATCTTGAATATATGTTAAACCTTGCAAGCTCAAATCAAATAGAAGGATTCTGCTAACCAACACTATGAACCTCTTGACAAAATAGCATTCTTTGTTTTTTGTTTTGTTTTGTTTTTTTGGTCAGGCCTAGGATCCATAACACATTCCTTCCTATCAGCTCAGTGTACCTGATCTCTGCAACAGCTGATAGCCCTGACTCATAACCTGCATCTCTAATGCGTCTGCCCACTGCTACAGGCGAGATCTAAGTAAAACACCTTTTATCATGTTAATCCCTTCCTCAAATACTTTCCTCTTGTAATTCAACTTTCAGGGGCCAGCCTAATCTATCTGGCCTCCCCCTACCTCTCACCATTCATTCCACTATTTTCCTATTGTTTTTGAGTGAGGGATTGACAAAATGAAACTTGTGTTTTAGAAGGTTAAACTGCTCATATAACAAGGATGAATTGAACAGTAGAACAGTGGCAGGAAGGAGACTGTTGTAATAGTGGATGGTAACCTTTAACCTTAATGCTCAGGAGAGCATTATATACAAGTATCTTGTATAGATTTTTTACTTGACACCATTTCAAGTGCCATGCATATCACCATACTGTGACATTTTATTATTTTTTATTACAAACATATACCTATCAAGCAAAACAAAAAAAGAAAAAATTAGACTTAAAATATTCCATCTTCAAGATACGGGAAACTAGAACAATGTGGATAGTGCAATATATCTTGATAAAACAAGGGAGGTTTTCTAATTAGGATGAGAGCTTATATTTTAAAAAAGTAAATGTAATAACTTTGAAGTTTTAAAACAGCAAAGCTCTTAATGATGCAGACTGGCTGGGTCTGAGGACCCAGAGAGGGTCCCACAGGACCAGCCAACAGGATCCTTGGCTTCGTGTAGGAAAGAAATCAAACATGAGCTGAGAGGAAGTGAGAGCAGAGTTTATTGAAAATACAGAGAGAGCAGATACAGATGGAGCATCTGGGAGGCTCAGAAAGGAAAAGGAGAATGCGTCTTCTCTTTGCTTGGAATCTGGGTTTTTACTGAGGACGGTGGTCAGGTGTACATGTCCTCTCAGGCATCTAGGAACTGGTCAAAACAAGGACAAGTACTCAGGTGTCCTCCAAAAGTCACTTATGCCCTGGAGCCAGGGGTCTTGGTGTCAAGGTGCCTGGAGTCAGTGGTCTTGGAAAACATTCATGATGACCTCGCCTAGTCACTCCTTAGATGTTATCTATTGTGCTGGAAGACGCCAAAGAAATCATTAACTCCTTGATAGTTACAAGGAGGACATATATTATTGGTACTTTAAGCCCTATGTAGGGCAGGGGTTCAGGTCCTAGCAAGAATATAAGCAGGAAATCTCATCTTGGGGCACCTGGGTGGTTCAGTTGCTAAGCGTCTGCCTTTTGCTCGGGTCATGATCCCAGGGTGCTGGGATCGAGCCCCGCATTGGGCTCCCTGTTCCATGGAAGCCTGCTTCTCCCTCTCCCACTCCCCCTGCTTGTGTTCCCTCTCGCTGTGTCTCTCTCTGTCAAATAAATAAAATCTTTAAAAAAAAAATTTCCCTGTGATTTATTTTTGGCCATCTCATACCCTTTGAAAATTTTTTACCTTTTCTTCCTTTCCAGTTGAAAGGATAATATCAAACAGAAATATATAAAGTATATTGATAAGCTGAGGAATGCAAATATTTGTGTTAGCTTTTTCTTTTCTGAAATTGTACTTTTAAAATTTTGAAATCACTAAGATTTTCATATTTAACCACAACACAAAGTCTATAATACAGAAGGAATACGAATAACAATCTCTTTAAACTGAAATACAAATTCCCAAAGGGTGCCTGGTTGGCTCAATCAGTAGAGCATGTGACTCAATGTCAGAGTTGTGAGTTCAAGCCCCAGTTGGGCATG